CTACAGGCCTTCAACACATTAGACACGCCAGGACAATCTATGAGTCATCTTTCGGAGGCCCACATTACGGTTATACCCAAAGAGAATAAGGACCAAACTTCTACAGTGAATTATCGTCCGATTTCGCTATTAAATTTTGATCTAAAGATCTTTGCTAAAATTCTGGCTAACCGTTTAAAATAGTCAAACACCAATACCAAAGTGTGTGTTAACAACAAAGGTTTGATATGATGATCATGATAGTGGAAGTTGATTTGAACAGTCTGAATAGAGGAGACATCTCAGCGCACTAATGGCTAATGTCCAGTGTTATATGTCCATAAGTCCCAGTAAAGTTTATGGCTAGTAACTGCATCAGATGGCAGCCATCCCAGAGTAAGCCAACTCTGTATGCAATGGAATGGAAAAGAAGAAGAGAGGCGCCCTCTGAGTGCAGTATGCAAGAAATATTTAATGACCCACAATCATAAAACTCACAATGTGAAGAGACCATCAGTAAAACCGTTTCTGTGTTTTGCAGGAGTCCATAGGGTGCTGGCCGCTTTAGATGGTGATAGGGCCCCAGGCTGCTGGAGACAGTAGAGGATCCCACGATCCCGTAGTGAATGGTGACAGTGCCCGGGCTGCTGGAGGTGATAGAGTATCCCAGGCTCCATCATCCAACCTCAAATGGAAGTGCCTGTGACCAGCGTGAGCCGCAAGCTGGGCAGACATGAACTCACATGGCATACTTCTTATTCCAGTCAAAAGAAAACATATATTAAGAAGAAAAAGAGAAAACAATACAATATTTATTTTTCCAAAAGTAATTTTTATTGAGACAATTAAGGCAGATCAATGTAGATACAAATATGGGTTACAGTCTGAACATAGACACAATATGCAGCATCCCGTTTTGAAAAAAATACAATATTTATAAAGCCATGACATGTACATCATATATTACATCATTAGTAAAAAGAAAAAAAAAAAACAACAAACACATAGGACATTTCCTTTAACCCTCTACAGCACACAGACCTCCTCATATCATCTGGGGGGAGGGGGGGCATGTAAATGAATGCCTGCCAGCCCCAGGAAAACCCCAACGGCAAAACTTCAGTACCAAGCCCTTTGACCCCCTTCCTGCCCAGGCCAATTTTCAGCTTTCAGTATTGTCGCAATTTGAACGACAACTGTACGGTCATGCGACACTGTACCCATAAAATATTTTTATAATTTTTTTCACACAAATAGAGCTTTCTTTTGGTGGTATTTAATCACCACTGAGTTTTTTAATTTTTTGCTAATTAAACAAAAAAAAAACCTGAAACTTTTGAAAAAAACCAAATTTTTCTTTGTTTCTGTTAAAATTTTGCTAAGTTTTTTTATTTTTTGCTAATTAAACAAAAAAAAACCCTGAAACTTTTGAAAAAAAAAACACATTTTTCTTTGTTTCTGTTAAAATTTTGCAATTATATTATTTAGTCTGTAGGAAAGTTATAGAGTCTACAAACCATGGTATATATATCTGACAATCGATCAATCCGGATGTACCGACAGCCCATCTCATTTCTTGAGGCCCAAAAATGCCAGTATAGTACAAATAACCCCCCCAAATTACCTATTTATGGAAAACAAACAGTCCAAGGTATTTATTAAGAGGCATGGTGAGTTTTTTGGAGGTTGTAATTTTTTGTTACAATTTTTTGGAAATTGTAGAAATAAAAAAAAAATCACAATTGTTTAATTTATTTTTTATTACATATTTTTATCAGTCCAGTACAGCGTTATTATGTAACTAGTGTGGCAGTGATCAGGGAAATTGACTGGTGACAATATGTAAAAAAAATATTATAATAATAATGTATTTTTTTTCACATTTTTCTATTTTTTAAAATTTTTTATTACATTATTTTTATTTTTTTTTTTTTTTTTCAACACACTGTGACCAAAGCAATACAATAGTATTGCCATAGTAACATTGAAAAACTACGGGCAAGTGATCAGGATGGGTTTTTTTTACACATTACGATTGCTAATACCAATGTATTTCATTGATATTTGCAATCATTGTTACTGAATGAAACTGATTCATTCAGTCTTTTGTTGTGATTAGGCAAAGCTCATCACATGATACAAATGGGCTGTGGTTGGCCCTATCTGTACCATGTGACTGCTTTGACCAATCACAGCAAACAACACAATTGTATACAATGGACAGCATGACAGGAAGCCATCCATTGCATACAATTGACATGTGATCTGCTGTGATTGGTCACAGCATTACATGACACTGGCAACAAGTCGGTGTAGTGATATGTCATTGGCTGTGTCCCATGGACACAGCCTTGACAGATCTCACTGGTGCGTGGCCCCGCAGATGCGTGAGTGGCTCCTTTTGACAGGAGGTCATATGACGCCCAGTCACAAGGAGGAGTGTCCCGCCCAGCCATCAATCTTCTATAGGCCTGGCAGGAAGGTGTTAACTAGGAGTAGCTGAGTACCTTTTTTTTCAGCCAGAAGGTGGCAATATCTGCAGGAATAGTCAGCCAGAAGGTGTGGATAGTATCATGAATAAGTCAACCAAGCTCCACCCCTTAAACATTGTGTCATCTGAGGAAGTTCTTGTTCACTCAAGACATAAGGGGCAGAGCTTTTCTGACTTTATCACACTATTACAGGCACCCTCTGGCTGACGATTTCTGCAAAAAGGGACAGCTAACATTGGATGGATGAGTATCATATTAAGATAGATGTAATTAATCAGTAAAAAAAAAAAATCTGCTTTTTAACCCCTTCACGCCTAAGGGTAAAACAAATCCTAATGCCTAAGCACAATTTTATAACGTTGACATGTGTTAGTAAAACCGTACATATCATCACAACTACTTTGTACATCCAGCTGAATTATACCTTGTTGTTTTTCAGGACAAATTGGGCTTCCATTTGGGGATAAATGGTAATGGATATCTCCTGATTTTTTTCTTTATTACCAAAGGAAAACTGTTGTACATGCTGGTTACAGTGCATTTCTCTCTGAAATTCTGAGGAAAATGGGTCGTTCCAGACATTGTTCAGAAGAACAGCGTACCTTGATTAAAAAGTTGATTGGAGAGGGGAAAACATATAAAGAAGTGCAGAAAATGATAGGCTGCGCAGCTAAAATGATCGCAAATGTTTTAAAATGGCAACTAAAACCTGAAAGATGTGGAAGAAAGCGAAAAACTACCATTCAAATGGATAGAAGAATAGCCAAAATGGCAAGGACTCAGCCAACAATCAGCTCCCGGAAGATCAAAGAAGGTCTAAAGTTACCTGTGAGTACTGTTACAATTAGAAGACGCCTATGTGAAGCCAAGCTATCTGCAAGAAGCCCCCGCAAAGTCCTGCTGTTGAAAAAAAGACATGCGCTGAAGAGGTTACAATTTGCCAAAGAGCACATTGACTGGCCTAAGGAGAAATGGCGCAACATTTTGTGGACTGATGAAAGTAAGATTGTTGTTTTTTGGATCTAGTGGCCAGAGACAGTTTGTCAGACGACCCCCAAACACTGAATTCAAGCCACAGTACACTGTGAAGACAGTGAAGCATGGTTGCGCAAGTATCATGATATGGGGATGTTTCTCATACTACGGTGTTGGGCCTATTTATTGCATACCAGGGATCATGGATCAGTTTGAATATATCAGAATACTGGAAGAGGTCATGCTGCCTTATGCTGAAGAGGAAATGCCCTTGAAATGGGTGTTCCAACAAGACAACGATCCCAAACACATCAGTAAACGTGCAACATCTTGGTTCCAGACCAACAAGATTGACGTTATGGAGTGGCCAGCCCAATCCCCGGATCTTAATCCAATAGAAAACTTGTGGGGTGACATCAAAAATGCAGTTTCTGAGGCAAAACCAAGAAATAGAGAAGAACTGTGGAATGTAGTCCAATCATCCTGGGTTGGAATACCTGTTCACAGGTGCCAGAAGTTGGTTGACTCCATGCAACACAGATGTACAGCAGTTCTCAGAAACAGTGCTTATACAACTAAATATTAATTAAGTGATTCAAAGGAAAGCAAAATCTTCAAACATTTTTCAGTTTATATAGTGAATGTTTGAGTTTGTAAAAAAGAATACAAACACTGCTATTTTTTGAACAGTCTAATATTCACTTTTCTTCAATTTTTTTAGAGGAACAACACAAATTTGATATATTTTTCTTCATGTTTTGATTTGGAATAGAATGTATAGTGTTCCCAATGCATTTGTGTGTATGAAAATAAAAGCTATTAGAAGGCTTTTGAGCTTTATTCACTTTTTTCAACACACTGCTATTATTTTGAACACAACTGTAAGTTATTTATTTAATCCATATTAGAAGACCCCCACAGATACCCTTATAGCTTTGTGAGGTAAAATAATGTGCAATGTAAGTGTAAAAATATAATAAACAGGCATCAAGCTAGGCAACTACCAAGGTAGCAGCTTATTTAGATGTATAGTAACTGGGATCAAAGTGTATGAGAGGATGCAAAGTCATGTAGATGCACACTAGACTTCATGTTTTGATTTGGAATGGAATGTGTAGTGTTCCCAATGCATTTGTGTGTATGGAAATAAAAGCTATTAGAAGGATTTTGAGCTTTATTCACTTTTTTCAACACACTGGTATTATTTTGAACACAACTGTATACACCATTTGAAGAGTCATACCTTGGTTTTTGGATGATATACTCACATGTTTAGACAGTGGGACTGCACTTAAAGTGTTACTAAAGCCAGGAGCCTGTATTCACTATATCTGGTCTCCCACAGTATACAGAACACGGAAATGCAATTATTTTAGTAAATATAAACTGATATATAGCTTTTCTCATCAGCAGTTAGAGCAGTCTTGTGACTTCTATCAGTGTCCAGCAGAGCACTAGGTAAAGCTAGTAGGAGGAGTTTTCTTTCTGCTCTAGGAGGATGCAGAACTCCTGACCTCTATCTGGACAGTGCTGATTGGCCCTGTGCTGATCACAGCACTCTCCCAAAAAAAAAACATCTCTAGCAATACACACCAAACTGAGCATGTGCAGAGTGTCTCCACACAATATGTCTTATCAACTGAAAAGAGGGGGACACTGGAAGAAGGGGAGTATCAGAGAAGTCAGGATCAATCAGCCTTTTTACACAATGCAGAGGATTCACCCCTTAGGTTTATTTAGATTGTAAGAGCATCCACAATGCATATATTTAGACACAAGTTTTTGGTCTCATAAGCAGTGATTATTGGAGGTGGAGATAGTGCTGCACTGTTTGAAGTGTTTGGATGTGCTAGATAATGCAAGCATACAGTATGCTATTCAAAACAATTTTCTTATATTTGATGGGATTTTAAAGGCAACCTTTAAACACACGAGGGGAACTACTTCTTTAAAGTAAACAACATTTTATTTATACATTCAATATATCATTAAAAGTTTTTTACTCTACAAGCACATACAGAGTGAATACCAAAATGCTTCAAGGCACATTTCAGAGCAATTCGGGCTACTTATTATATTCTAATATTATGATGTAATCCTATATTGATCCAGCAGTATCCCCCATAACTGATTTCCATCTTGTAACCTCTAAATTTGATTACAGATATATTCAGCCTAAGATCCAACGCGTTTCGAATATTTATCAAAAATTCTTCTTCAGGGTTTTGACACCACTCTAAAATATAAAAAATAATTAATAGTCAAAATTAACAAGACTTTTTATATATATATTTTTTGATACAAAACCAAAGCATATTGGGATAAAGCACTTACATAACCACCATAGATATTCTAAAGAGTGTCTCATTATGTGAAGAGATAAGCCATCATAAGCCAGAGTGAAGCCATCATTCTGGTGTGCAAAGACCACAGGTGCCACACCACATCACTTCCATAATAAGATATATATATATATATATATATATATATATATATATATATATATATAATATATATATATACAGTATATATAGTATATATATATATATATATATATATATATACAGTGGGTGGGGCAAAAAAAGTCTTTAGTCAGCCACCAATTGTGCAAGTTCTCCCACTTAAAAAGATGAGAGAGGCCTGTAATTGGCATCATAGGTAGACCTCAGCTATGAGAGACAAAATGAGAAAAGAAATCCAGATAATGAGATTGGCTGATTTGGAAAGAATTTATTTGCAAATTATGGTGGAAAATAAGTATTTGGTCACCTACAAACAAGCAAGATTTCTGGCTCTCACAGACCTGTACCTTCTTATTTAAGAAGCTCCTCTGTCCTGCACTCATTACCTGTATCAATGGCACCTGTTTGAACTTGTTATCAGTATAAAAGACACCTGTCCACAACCTCAAACAGTCACACTCCAAACTCCACTATGGTGAAGACCAAAGAGCTGTCGAAAGACACCAGAAACAAAATTGTAGACCTGCACCAGGCTGGGAAGACTGAATCTGCAATAGGCAAGCAGCTTGGTGTGAACAAATCAACTGTGGGAGCAATAATTAGAAAATGGAAGACATACAAGACCACTGATAATCTCCCTCGATCTGGGGCTCCACGCAAGATCTCACCCCGTGGGGTCAAAATGATCACAAGAACGGTGAGCAAAAATCCCAGGACCACACGGGGGGACCTAGTGAATGACCTGCAGAGAGCTGGGACCAACGTAACAAAGGCTACCATCAGTAACACACTACGCCGCCGGGGACTCAGATCCTGCAGTGCCAGACATGTCCCCCTGCTTAACCCAGTACATGTCCGGGCCCGTCTAAAGTTTGCTAGAGAGCATTTGGATGATCCAGAAGAGGATTGGGAGAATGTCATATGGTCAGATGAAACCAAAATAGAACTGTTTGGTAGAAACACAACTCGTCGTGTTTGGAGGAGAGAGAATGCTGAGTTGCATCCAAAGAACACCATACCTACTGTGAAGCATGGGGGTGGCAACATCATGCTTTGGGGCTGTTTCTCCGCAAAGGGACCAGGACGACTGATTCATGTACAGGACAGAATGAATGGGGCCATCTATCGTGAGATTTTGAGTGCAAACCTCCTTCCATCAGCAAGGGCATTGAAGATGAAACATGGCTGGGTCTTCCAACATGACAATGAACCCAAACATACCGCCCGAGCAACAAAGGAGTGGCTTCGTAAGAAGCATTTCAAGGTCCTGGAGTGGCCTAGCCAGTCTCCAGATCTCAACCCCATAGAAAACCTTTGGAGGGAGTTGAAAGTCCGTGTTGCCCAGCGACAGCCCCCAAAACATCAATGCTCTAGAGGAGATCTACATGGAGGAATGGGCCAACATACCAGCAACAGTGTGTGCCAACCTTGTGAAGACTTACAGGAAACGTTTGACCTCTGTCATTGCCAACAAAGGATATATAACAAAGTATTGAGATGAACTTTTGATATTGACCAAATACTTATTTTCCCCCATAATTTGCAAATAAATTCTTTCCAAATCAGCCAATGTGATTGTCTGGATTTTTTTTTCTCATTTTGTCTCTCATAGTTGAGGTCTACCTATGATGCCAATTACAGGCCTCTCTCATCTTTTTAAGTGGGAGAACTTGCACAATTGGTGGCTGACTAAATACTCTTTTGCCCCACTGTATATATATAAAATAAGTGGTCGTAAAGAATTGGGAGTGCATTACCATCAGCTGGTCATATACAGTATCTCACAGAAGTGAGTACACCCCTCACATTTTTGTAAATATATTATTATTTCTTTTCATGTGACAACACTGAAGAGATGACACTTTGCTACAATGTAAAGTAGTGAGTTTACAGCTTGTATAACAGTGTAAATTTGCTGTCCCCTCAAAATAACTCAACACACAGCCATTAATGTCTAAACCGCTGGCAACAAAAGTGAGTACACCCCTAAGTGAAAATGTCCAAATTGGGCCCAAAGTGTCAATATTTTGTGTGGCCACCATTATTTTCCAGCACTGCCTTAACCATCTTGGGCATGGAGTTCACCAGAGCTTCACAGGTTGCCACTGGAGTCCTCTTCCACTCCTCCATGACGACATCACGGAGCTGGTAGATGTTAGAGACCTTACGCTCCTCAACCTTACGTTTGAGGATGCCCCACAAAAAATATATTACAAAAACATGAGGGGTGAATTCACCTCTGTGAGATACTGTATATAGATCAATAAAGATCAATATCAAAATACCAATCTCAATATATGAACCCCTTTACCAAAAAATGAATTAGCATTCCTCCAAAACATCCAGCAGCATGAGACAGTGACTCCAACTGGGTTCTGAGATCCAGAGGTATCATATCCCTGAAGAAGAATGTATGATAAACATTCGAAACGCGTTGGACCCTAGGCTGAATATATCTGTAATCAATTTTAGAAGTTTCAAGATGGAAATGAGTTATGGGGGATACCACTGGATCAATATTGGATTACATCATAATATTAGAATTTATTAAGTAGCCCTAATTGCTCTGAAATGTGCCTTGAAGCATTTTGGTATTCACTCTGTATGTGCCTGTAGAGTAAAAAACTTTGATATATTGGATGTATAAATAAAACGGTGTTTCTTTTAAAGAAGTCGTTTCCCTTGTGTATTTAAAGGTTGCCTTTAAAATCCCATCAAATGTAAGAAAACATTTTTTGAATATTATAAAATAGGGATGATGCCAACCACACCCTGAGTTACACTGAATCATTTTTTCATAGCATATAGTATGCTAATGTCAGCATCAGGTGTGTATCGTGATGGGTCCCGGTGCTTTTTCAACTCATGTAAGGACAGCCATCATTTTCAGGGAGAAATCTGTCCATCTGTGGACAGCCTGATAGAGTTCTGTCTCTAACATTGTGGTTTTCCTGGCAGGGCAATCCCTCTGATATAGCAGGCCTATCCAGCTCTATGTTCTGATATGTATATGCTTGCAAAATTCTTAAACACAAACAGGCACTACAGACAAAACTGGCACCACTGCTGTGAAACAACTACTAATGTGCACTCCTAGATAATATATTGTAATAATCAACCACCTACAGAGTACTCATTTCTATGCTAGGCATCAACCTACACACTACTAATATCCAAACAGAACTAATAGGAAAAAATCAATGCTACGATAACAAATACCTGCACTGCAATATCACACAATACCCACACCCCCACATCCCTTAATAGATTATACTTTACAACCTTTTATCCAGTATTAAAATCAATACCACTATAACAGCAATTCAAATTACCATTTCATAAGAACACATTATACCTGCTCCATTTTTATAGTTCACAAGATAAGCATTTGTATTTCCAAATAACATTTTTTTTAATACCGTATTTACAAATTAAGCATCTCTTCTAAGACCTCATTCACACTGGCTGAGAAGATTGAACTGTCATACCCCCCAGATTACTCGTTCCTGTATTTAGATGTTCCAGCTTTAAAACAGGTGTAGCCACCTTTAGGTGCATTTAGAAGCATTTAAATGCATTTAGCCATGTTAAACTGACTGCACCTAAATGCAGGTAGACACACAATATGAATAGTACATCACTGCATGCAGTTATAGACTTTATAAATGTCTTCTAGATGCACATAAATGAAGGTTTGACAGTTCTAGTATGAATGAGTCTTAACCAGGGGCGGCCTGACAACTCATGGGCCCCCCGGGCAATAGGGGATCATGGGGCCCCTGTGTCCTTGCCCAAACTCAAAAAAGCCTATGAAAAAGGTACTAGGGGCATCTCATGGGGCCCCCTACTGACCCCGGGCCCTCGGGCAGTGCCCGAGTTTCCAAATGGTCAGTCCGCCCCTGGTCTTAACTATATCTTTCACTTGACCTACACAGTTACGTTTATCACATCTCCATAGTGTAAGCTAAGTTTGTAGTGCAAAATATGATGCAAATCTTCAACGCCAATATTGTTTAATGTGCTGTTAATCTGCAAGTGAAGTCTTAGGCTTGGAGTGGCTGGGGGGGGGAAGTTAAAACAGATAGTTTTTAACTGTGATTTTACTGCCGCCCACTTAAAGAATAGAATGCAGCCTCTCAGACTTGTGGCTGCTATGCTTTGCAGTTGCTGCAAAACTTAAAGTGTTACGAAGTCCAGGATCCTGCATTCACTATATCAGGTCTCCCGCAGTACACTCTACATGGAAATGCAATTATTTTAGTAAATATAAACTGCAAAATACCTTTTCTCATCAGCAGTTAAAGCAGTCTTGTGACTTCTATCAGTGTCCAGACAAGCACTGGTTAAAGCTTGTAGGAGGAGGTTTCTTTCTGCTAGGAGGATGCAGAACCCCTGACCTCTGTCTGCACAGTGCTGATTGGCTCTGTGCTGATCGCATGCACTGTCCCAAGGAAAAAAAAGGCAATACACACCAAACTGAGCATGTACAGAGTATCTCCACATAACATGTCTTACCAGGAGATTAGAGGGGTGCACTGGAAGAAGGGGAGAATCAGAGAAGTCAGGATCAAATTGCATTTTTACACAATGCAGAGGTTAACCCCTTAGGTTCCATAGTGAGTATATCATGCTTTACTGCTTATACAGACTTTTTGATTTTAATGTTGTGGGTTTAGTAGCACTTTAAGGCAGTACCGTCAACACACACGACCTGTTCAAGTAAATGTGGTCACAGCTGCTATGGAGCAGCTTTTACATACAAAATACCCATTCATCTTTTAAAGAAAGGGCATTAAGGAGGTAGCAGAATGTCCAGCAGTCTCCACTTTACCACTCTCTGAAAAGCAATCCACCAGAAAGCTTTTCTTCAGATTTACATATACTTAGATGTGTTCTTTAAGTATGACTCTGACAGAATCAATGTATTGGAACCCATTTTTTGATATTTACAAAGCAATGCAATTTACTGGAATCTACAGCATGTAAATATTTTCCTACTACATGCTTGAAAGATGTGAAAGGAATTTGGGACTTTTAGACCTATTTCTTTTATTCTCATTGATGGTAGTCCCTGAGAATACCTGGATACAAAGGCCTTGAGTTTGGTTATGATACTCTGACCAAAATGATGTTGTATTTTTTTGGCATTTTCGAATTTGGGTACCACATGAACGCTTGGGCCTGCTACACAACCTATTGCTGGCTATATGTCAGTGCTCTTGCCTGAGAGACAGTGGTGTCCAGCTTGGTATATTGGGACATACCTCCATGGAAAACGTTTACAAGCTGTGGATTCCAGTAAATTGCATTGCTTTGTTAAGATCAAATGTGCGTTCCAATGTATTGATACTTTCATATGTGATCCTGAAGAAGGATCCCCGAAATGCATTTTGTCTACATGTGAATTTTATCAAAATCTTTACATGTTGCGAACCTAAATGAAGTCCTTTTTAATGTGTAGTGTATGATTTTTAAATTAGTTTATTAAAGATTTAGGGGGGCCAAGAACTGTAGATTGGGAACAGTCCCGGATGAAAACTAGTTGGTTATTGCACCTGACCACCCTTTCCCCTTATCTGCCCAGGGGTTGTAGGATTACCCACTCTGTCTCTCCTGTGAGCTTGGTGGGTTGGTGGCTGCCTTCAGGCATTACGCTGGGCTGGCTCCTTCCTTGCTGCACAGGCTGTCCTGTCTCTGGGGATGATGAGGCAGAGAGATCCTCCTTTCAGCTCCTGCCTGTAGGTAGGCCCCTCTCATGGGTCCCTTCCCAGACTCCACACTCCATCTTCCACCCAACACACCTACTTATCAAGCTCTCTCATGGCCTTGACCCATGCCAAGCCTCCTGCTTGAGGATTAGTCAGAGTCCCTTGAGCATGCAGATCAGCCCATCCTCACCCCCACCCGCTGCCTTCCAAAAACTTCCCAAGCTTCCAGAGCTGGGGGAGGTCTCAAGGAACTGACCTGCAGAGCCCTTTAACTCTTGACTTTAAATAACATGGCTGACTCATCCCAGACTGACTCAGCCTCTGCCTAAAAAAAACTAACTAGCTGCCCCTAGCTAAACTTGAGGGGCACTACATTTAGTACACATTTTCTAACATATCAGTTAAAACACAGGAAGACAGCATTATATTTACTATATGTTAGTTATATACACCATCAAAAATAGCTCACAGAACTGCCTGATGCCCACAATAAAACAGAATAGTATTATATGCCACTGCATAAAAAGCCTCTCTTTTGGTAAATATACCAAAGAAAGAGTTTTTATAAAGTGCAAAAAATACCATTTGATCCTGACAGAATTCCAATGAGCTTGTATCTACCTGTACTCTCTGCCTGCAGTGTTATCAGTTACGAGTGCAATCAGTCCTGCCCAGTACTCTCTGTGGAATACAGAACACCTCTCTCTGTTGTAGAGATGAGGAGAGAAGGAGCTGTTCTATAGTCCAAATCAGGAGAGAGCAGCTCAGGGCGACAATGCTTTTGATCTATAGATGCAGTAGAGCGAGTGAGTGCCTTCGTAATAGTACAGAAAGTATGTTACTAGCAGAACAACCAGGTAAAATATGGAGAAAAAACCCTGAAAAAACAATGTAATCATATCTAAAGACAGATAACCTGCAATATATTAACATTTTTGTTGGATTTATATACTTTTTAAAATCTGCAAACCACAAAATAAAAAAAATAGAAAAAAAACAACAGCAGGAAAAAAATCTTCCCTGCATCATAGAATTTGTCCCAGACAGCCTGTGGATATGCTAACACACCTCGGTAGTATAAGTAGATTTATGTATTGATTGTACTCTGGGCCTCGGAGTTATTGTAAACAGACAGAACGATAGAATTCTTATTCAGGATATATCTTATTTTTAACTTGTGAGAGTGATTGTTTGCTCATGTTTATATTGCAGACTACAGTTTTATACCACCTTGGCGTGTTGCTAGTGTATAGCCTTTAGAAGGTTAATGCTGCTATAATACAACGTGCTACACAGCAGTCTGGCAGGAGTTTAGGAAGTGAAGAAAGGCAGAGCAGTAGACAAATGTAAGACCAGTTCCTCAGGAACCAGCCAAACACAATTGCTTCCCCTTGATGAGATGCCAAAAGAACAAAGATGTGTTCCTTGGAGCTAGCAGCTGCTGCCTTGGGCACAAGAAAGCAAGAGGCTGTAAGAGAGCTGGCATCCCACGTCTATCACTTGCAGGTTTACTTTCTGATTCCTGCTACAATAATGTGACAAGCTGATATTGGCTTAGTAACGTACCTCCTAGTTCAGAAAAAAACTAAGCAATGATTCTGTTCCATGCACTGATCTAACAAAGTGTCTTCCTTTGTAATTTATTAGCAGCATTTTCAAATGCATTACCACACTACCCTGTCCTACCATAATCTTTTCTTTAACTTTTGATGACTTTTGGTCAACTCGTGGTACCAATGTACAAGGTTAAGGTGGCAACACAAGAACTTTATTCTGACATGAGTCAGTTATCATTCAGTCAGGAGATAGATGCCCTTTTGTAGAATGAGAATGATCAGACTTTGGTAGCAACTGAACAAGTAACATCTTTGCATGTGTAGCGAAGAGTGGAACCCACACCAACCATGTGCACATGGGATGTTGGCCATGTTCCCGATGAGGTAGCTAAAAGTCACCTGTTGAGATAAATCAGGTAGAGCCTAAAGTATTTCTAAAGCCTAAATATTTTTTAACCTTAATGCATTCTCTGCATTAAGTTAAAAAATGTTTGGGGGTAATAATATCGCCCCCTCACCCCCCCCCCCCCTTTTACTTGCCTGATTCCTGACTCGATCCATCACTGTGCCCATCTGTAGATGTTCTCCCCACTCTCACAGGCTTTGCTAAGGCAGTGGAAGCAGTTGGTTCTTGCTGTTGTCAGTTAAAACCTATGAAGGAATTGGGGGAGCAGGAGTCGAGCCATGCTGTCTGTGTCTTTGGACTCAGGCAGTGCAGCATGGGATTGTGCCTGCAGGATTGTGCCGAAGTGGCTTCCTATGATGGCACACCGAGAAGAGGAGGAGACAGAAATATTTAATATATACAAATATATTTCTCATGCTATTGATTAAGACTGTATTTTATTTAAAAAAATTTATTTAATAACAGTGCAAGTAGAGAATTGCTAAGTATACAGTGATGTAGCTATTGGAACCAATAACTAATAATTTGACTTTAGTAAAGTAAACTTTTTTAGATTGATACAAGTTACAAAATTTTGCATTTAGCACTTTGCTGCTTGCACCACTTATTAAATACATCCAATAGTATCATTAAAGTGGAACTGAAATTCATCTGAGTACCACAAACAAAAAATGCTATAGTATACTTACTTTTTAATCATTCAAAGCAAACTCCTCCATCCATCCAGGTTTTCATGCTTTATTTTGCTAAGAAATCATTTTGAAAAACACCTCCTGGCATTTCTGGCAGATGCCATCTTGAGTAAGGGCAGATGATTCATGTAGCAGTTACTTCCTTGAATCTATTTGTCCTTAGCTCAGGCATTGGCTGAGCTAAGCACTCTCCGTCCCCTCCTGAAGACTCCTGGGATGTATAACATCATTTACCTAGGCATGGAAACCTGAAGAAATGCAAAACAAGGTTAAAACAAGTAAATATGATATACTTTCCTATCTATTTACTAATGCTAGCAGCATAAGGATTAGAAAAGATTGTTCACTTGTGGGTGGGGATGTCATGCCGTGTACACACTGAGCTTTTTTGCTCTTTTTCCACTCTTGTCCTTTCTCTGGACTCTCTGGTATATGCTTGCTAATGCCCA